GGATCACCTGAGCACAGCAAGTTGAGGCTGCAGTAACCATGAGTGTGCCACTGCACTCCAACCTGGGTGACAGAGTGAGACTCCAACTTAAAAAAAAAAAGAAAGAAGGAAATTATACTTCGTTTTTTATGTTGCTTGTTGAGGACAGGAACTGTGTTTTATATTTCATTGTATTTCCTGTAGTACCTTATATATAATGTAAGCTCTGTAAAGTTTCTTTCAAAAATCCAAATTTTGGGCACAGAAGCAGAGGTATAATATTTAGATGGGCCGGGCTCAGTGGCTCAGCCTATAATCCCAGCACTTTGGGAGGCTGAGACGAGTGGATTGCCTGAGCCCGCGGGTTTGAGACCAGCCCAGGCAACTTGGTGAGACCTTGTCTCTACGATAAAGTTAAAAAAATAGCCGGGCATGGTAGTGCACATCTGTAGTTCCAGCTGTTCGGAAGGCTGAGGTGGAAGGAGCACTGGAGCCCAGAAGGTCAATGCTGGAGTGGCCATGAGCGTGCATGCCATTGCACTCCAACCTCGGTGAAGGAGTGAGCTTCCAACTCAAATAATAATAATAATAATAATATTTAGATGACAGAAAAGCTTTAAAATTTATTCTAGTTAGGATTTTTTTTCCCTGGGAAAGGCACAAAATATATAATCTTATATCTGTACTTCAAAAGGGTGGTTATACTACCTAAAAAGTACATGTAAAACATTAGGCTTAAGATAGAGGTTAATATTTTTTATATGAAAATCTCTCAGTAGCAGTAGGGGCAGCGTGGTCACAGGTTGAATCATTGTTCTGGCAGAATCCATATGTGCTTACAAAGCTTGCATAGCCGGGTGCGGTGGCCCACACCTGTAATCCCATCACTTTGGGAGGCTGAGACAAAAGGATTGCCTGAGCCCACAGGTTCAAGACCAGCCTGGGCAACATGGTGAGACCTGGTCTCTACAATAAATCAAAAAAATCAGCTGGGTGTAGTGGCACATGCCTGTAGTTCCAGCTACATAGAAAGCTAAAGCAGAAGGATCACCTGAGCCCAACAGGTCAAGGCTGCAGTGGCCGTGAGCATGCCACTGCACTCCAGCCTGGGCGACAGAGTGAGACTTCAACTAAAAACCAAAAAACAAGTTTGCCTAGGCTTCAGGTTTTAGGCTAAGGCCAAACAAAAAAATAAGAAGGAGGATTTGTGCCTTCCAAAAGCTCTGAAATAGATAACAATAAGCAAAGACCGTAACAGCCATCGTAATATTGTCATAAAGCCAAAAAGAACACATGCTAAAGACGATAAACGTGCCTAGTATGGGAATGGTTGCTTTGGCTTCAGAAACTGTAAGTGAATGTCTAGTATAGAGTATAGTCTACAGTCTGTGCAAATAGAATTGTCTGTGTGAAAAACTGGCTGTGAAACTTTATAAGGTTTTAGAAAAAGATATCCTTAATTCTTCATCATGACCCAATTATAACTGTTCAAAATGTGTGACTTAGTTTCTTGTAGCCTTCCAACTAGTTTTATAGCGCCAAAGGTAGAATTGTAGATATCACCAATGTAAATTAATTTGGCATCTCAGCCTTCATTGATCAGAACAATAAGAAAATCTATTTAAAACTGTTGGCGCCGGGCTCCGTGCCTCAGCCTGTAATCCCGCGCCCTGGGAGGCTGAGGTGAGTGGATTGCCTGAGCCCGCGGGTTCCAGACCCGCCTGGGCAGCGAGACCTTATCTCTGCAATAAATCAAAAAAAATTAGCCGGGCGTGGTAGCACATGCCTGTAATTCCAGCTACTTGGAAGGCTGAGGCGGAAGGATCGCCGGAGCCCAGCAGGTCGAGGCTGCGGTGGCCGGGAGCGGCCACTGCACTCCAGTCTAGGCAACAGAGTGAGACTCCAACTCAAAAAAAAAAAAAAAAAACTGTTGGCAAATATCAAATCAATAAGCTGATTACTATCCTTTGATATCTGACATGAATTAATAGGCTCCCACTTCTCAGAAGATACAAATGAAATTTCTATTTAGCAGGCAACTGGAAAAAAAATGGAATAAAGCTATTGGAATTGGCATTACTGAAAAGCACTATCAACTCATCCAGTAATCACTAGCAAGATTCTGTTGGTCAGTAAACATTTCATGAAAGCAGCTAGTGTGCTGTGAGCACCTTTCCTACCTTTGCAGGGAGACAGAGGAAGTGTGAGACAGGCCCCAGTCCTAAAGAAAAGGTCATTCCAATGTTAAGTGCAGAGTACTGAGTCTTTGAAATGTGCCATGTTCACATACGTTGTTAACTGTAGCTAGTTGACAGTTTTTCTACCCACTTAAAAAAAAACAACAACAATAACCCGGGCTCGGTGGCTCAGCCTGTAATCCCATGCCTTTGGGAGGCTGAGGTGAGTGGATTGCCTGAGCCCATGGGTTCGAGACCCGCCTGGGCGGGCGAGACCCCATCTCTACAATAAATCAAAAAATTAGCCGGGCGTGGTAGCGCCCACCTGTAGTTCCAGCTACTTCGAAGGCTAAGCAGAAGGATCGCCGGAGCCTAGCAGGTCGAGGCTGCGGTGGCCGGGAGCAGCCACTGCACTCCAGTCTGAGCGACAGAGTGAGACTCCAACTCAAAAAAAACAAAAAAAAAAACTTTACCTTTTTTATGACCGCCATCATTTTTTTTTTCTCTTTTTTTTTTTAATCGATATTTTTTATTTTGATATTGTGGGGTACAGTTAAGGGTTAGGTACACAAATATGCTTCATTCAGGCCCCCTTGTTGATAACAGGTATCTCCCCGTCTCCAGACAGATGTTTACTACCATTAGTCCCATCCTCCCCCCCATAGTTTCCCAACACTGTCAGTCATTTTGCCATAGTAGTGCATTGGATGATCAAGATCCACTATATGAGTGAGAATATGTGATACTCAGATCTTTGTTTCTGTGAGAGGTCAGACCGCCATCATTTAACTAGTGTGTAATTTGAGAGTGTTACACAGCAGAAAGAGGCAGCTGGGTTTCACATCTGAGCTGTGTGACTTTGAACAAAACATCTCTTTTATGAGATTACACACTAAAAAATGTTTGGTTTTTCTTTTTATTTAAAAGATAACAGAATCAATTGCTTTAATGTAATTGGAAGTTATGTTATGTTCAGTAGTGTTCCTTGAGGGCAGGAACTATTGCTTATATCTTTGTTGCCTGTACTTCCTTGCATGTGCTATGAATTCAGTGGAAAAAACAGTATTCACTTCTTAGGGTGGTTGTAATAATTATTGAAGATATTTGTGACCTAACTAACCAGGCACCCGGCACAGTGGCTCAGCAAAAGTTAGTTTACTTTTTCTGCATAAAAGTGCCAGAACATAAACTAAATTGTAAAGTTTAATATTACACTAACGGGCCGGGCTCGGTGGCTCAGCTTGTAATCCCAGTACTTTGGGAGGCCAAGGCGAGTGGATTGCCTGACCCTGCAGGTTCAAGCCCACAGGTTCTCGAACCGTGGGCTCAGACAGTCCACTTGCCTCGGCCTCCCAAAGCCCTTTACTTCTTAAAACAGGATTTTTGCTCAAAGAATTTGTTTTAAAGAAGGAAGCTATGTGAAAATTTTTCTAATGAAGAATTAGATTGTTCCATAGGAGAGATTTTTAAATTTCAGTATGCAAAAGAAAAACTCAGACACTTATCTTAAATTCTGATTTCTGATCCCACCTTTAGAGGTTCTGATTCTGCAGATTTGGGCGGGGCCCAGGAATCTGCATTTTAGAAAGCTCCCAGATGTCTCTTAGATGTCTGTCTTCCAGATGTCTAGCAAATCACATTATGAGACATATTCTTCCAGAGAGCATATTAGTTTAAATTACTTAGACAGTTTAGTTATGCTATATTTAGAGCTGACAAAACTCAAGTTTTACAATAGTTGTATTGAGATAGAGTTGGCATGTACTATATCGCACATACTAAGAATATATGCATTGATAAGTTTGATGTATTTGTACATCCATGAAACCATCGCCATAAAAAGACAATAAGCATGTCATCTGCAAAAGTTTCCTTGTGCCATTTTCTGATCCCACCTTCTCATCCTTAACCACTGGTCTATCTTGTCACTCACTGTAGATTGGTTTCCATTTTCTAGGATTTTGTATAAATAGGGTCCTATAACATATACTATTTTTTAAAAATCTAGCTTCTTTTACTAAAATAATTATTTAGGAGTTTATCCATGTTGTATACGAGGGGGGACCTTAAAAAACCCACCAGAATTATTTTTTGGAGGGCAGGCCCCCTGTAGTATAGGCTTCCCTACTAGGTAAGTGTTCTAGGAACCCATTGGCATCCGTGTATCAGCTAGCATTGTTGTGAGAGACTGCGTTCAGCAGTGAATTTTTTTTTTTTTTAGATTCTTTCAGTGCATTTGCCCATTTCATAATGGGTGATTTATGAGCCTATACCTGCCCAAACCACACTGAGTATTCAGCAGTTTTTGACCAAAAACCACATGACCCTGTGCCCTACCTTCTCTGTTTACCCGATCTCACCCCAAGGGACATTTTTTGTTTCCCTGGATGAAAAATGTCCTCAGAGGGAAACATTTTGCCGATGTGGAAGTGGTGAAACAAAAACCAGCAGAAGCACTTAATGGCATCAAAATTGACGAATTCAGAAACTGTTTTGAGCGGTGAAAAATCTTCTCATTAGGTGTATTGCATTAAATGGGGAGTACTTTGAAGATGACTGAAGTCTAAACTTGTAAGAATAAATACACACATTTTTATAAATTCCCTAACATAGCAATAGTTTGTTTCTTTTTATTACTGAGTACAATTCCAGAGTATGGATATACCACAATTTGTTTCTCGATTTACCTGCAGGTGGACAGTTGGGTTGTTTTCATTTGGGTATCTTGCACATAAAGCTGCTGTGAACATTTGTGTGCATGTGTTTGTATGGATATACTCAGAATTGACGTTGTAAGATTTCATGCAACTTGTAATGCTTGTTTTCCTTTTGTTTTTATTGCAGAAAGTGATTGGGTGGTACAGATTCCGGCGCAATACACAGCAGCAAATGTCATACAGAGAGCAGGTTCTCCATAAGCAGCTCACCCGCATCCTTGGTGTGCCCGATCTCGTCTTCCTCCTCTTCAGCTTCATCTCTACTGCCAACAATTCCACTCATGCTTTAGAATACGTTCTCTTTAGACCAAATCGAAGGTAAGGAAAGCTTTCCCACTAGTCTCACATAGAAGAAAGATGTTAGTACAAGTAATTGAGATTCATGACTTTGACAATGTACATTATAGTGTGTTTTGTGGCATCTTTTTTTTGAGTCGGAGTTTCACTCTGTCGCCCAAGCTGGAGGGCAGTGGCACGCTCATAGCCACCACAACCTCGCCTTGCTGGGCTCAAGCAATCATTCCACCTCAGCCTTCCAAGTAGCTGGAACTACAGGCATGTGCCACTGTGCCCGGCTAATTTTTCTTGATTTGTTGTAGAGATGAGGTCTGGCCAAGTTGCCCAGGCTGGTCTCCAACCCGTGGGCACAGGCAGTCCTCTCACCTCAACCTTCCAAAGTACTGGGATTATAGGCTTGAGCCACCGCGCCCGGCCTTATGGCATCTTTTAAAAAAACTTTTGTAGCCAGGCTCGGTGGCTCAGCCTGTAATCCCGCGCCTTTGGGAGGCTGAGATGAGTGGATTGCCTGAGCCCGCGGGTTCGAGACCTGCCTGGGCGATGAGACCTCATCTCTACAATAAATCAAAAAATCAGCCGGGCGTGGTAGCGCGTGCCTGTAATTCCGGCTACTCAGAAGGCTGAGGCGGAAGGATCACCGGAGCCCAGCAGGCGAGGCTGCAGTGGCCGGGAGTGGGCACTGCACTCCAGTCTGGGCAACCGAGTGAGACTACAACTCAAAAAAAATAAATAAATAAACTTTTGTAATTCTCTTTAGTTAGTCCCTTTTTTAGTTAGAGTAAGTATTCGCCTTGTCAGTTATTTTTATTTTTATGTTTTTTTGAGTCAGGGTCTCACTCTGTTGCCCTGGCTGGAATGCAGTGGCACAGTCACGGCTCACTGGAACCTGGGATCAAGCTCCCACCTCAACCTCTCAAGTATCTAGCACTACAAGCACATGCCACCGTACCTGCTATTTATTTATTTATGTTTGTTTTCTTTTTTTGAATTGGAGTCATACTCTGATGCCCAGGCTGGAGTGCAGTGGCATGCTCACAGCCACCCCAGTATCAACCTGCTGGGCTCTAGCAATCCTCTCCCGCCTCAGCCTTCCAAGTAGACGGAACTACAGGTGTGCGCTACCACATCCAGCTAATTTTTTTTTTTTTTAAATTGTGGAGACGAGGTCTCACCAAGGTGCTCAAACTGGTCTCGAACCCACAGGCTCAGGCAGTCCACTTGCCTCGGCCTCCCAAAATGCTGGGATTACAGGCTGAGCCACCGAGCCTGGCCTTTATTTTTTTTTTGTAGAGATGATGTCTTGCTGTGTTGACTGGTCTCAAACTCTTGGCCTCAAGCAATCCTCCCACCTCAGCCTCCCAAAGTCCTGGGATTATAGGTGTGAGCCACCATACCTGACCTTGTCAGTTATTTGTATAAATGAAAAATGTTTTTGAATCGAGAAGCATTAACAATACATGTTTATTCATAAATTCTGTTAGGAATAAATGACTAGAATTAATCATTTACTTCTCTATAATCCATTATGTTGAAATGGAGTTTTATTGCTGTAAGAATCTGATTGTAATTTTAATCTGTAGATTTCAAAGACAGTATTGTAAAATTGATCCCCACCTACTGGTTAAGGAGGGTTTTGCATTGCGAACTTGTTAAAGCAAAAAGGAAAAAACAGGATTATGTGATCCTGTTTTCTGTCTCTAAACAGCAGAAAGGATTCCCTCTGGAAATTTGTTTGTTGTAGAATAAAAGAAATTGACATCCATGAAAATAATTATTAATTGTTAAATAGCTATTTGCAAGATTTTATTAATTAACCCCTAGGTGTTTTCTTGAGCATTTACAAGCTCAGCACTGTTGGTCGCTGTAGGAATGCAGGTATAAGACATGACCACTGCTCTTAAGGAGTTTACAATCAGGGCTCTACTTTTAGGGAAGGGAAGATAATTGCTAACTTATGCACCCTTGGGTTGTCTGTAGAACCCAAGGTGCTCCAGGGACTTCCTGTCAGTTTACCAATGCTAACAACCAAGACTCCTGTTACCAAGCTCCATTCTTAAAGAAAAGTAGTACTTTTAACATTATCTCCCTCTCAATCTCCCCTTTAGGTATAATCAAAGGATATCACTTGCTATTCCCAATCTAGGCAATACTAGCCAGCAAGAGTACAAAGTGTCTTCAGTGCCAAATACTTCTCAGAGTTATGCCAAAGTTATTAAAGAACATGGGTAAGTTGAAAGGCAAAATGACTTTTTTCCCTTCTTTTGTCAGAAATATTTCTTTTGTTAATAATATTTAAAAGGTGTGTGGAGAAGTGTGAAATCAAGTTTGATATGATTGAAATTGACACAGTAATGTAATTATCAGTTTTATTCTTATTTATTTTATTTGCCACGGGCTTTTTTGTAATCGACATAAAAGTGTGGCTAGGGTGTGTATTTCTGAGATTCTAAAAGCTAAACATAGTCACTGAAAAATAGATGGCGGTGCATTACATCCTGAATTGTCTTGGTGACTTGAGTTCTTTTTTATTTATCGTCTGTAATTCTGGTAGTGTGGGCCTTGCCGCTTAAACATCAGGGTCACAGCATTTAAATAATGGATTAAAGTAGAAGGGACGGGGAAAAAGCCTTTCGGGTTCACAGCAGTTATAACAGCTTTGTGGCGTCTTTTTTCCTGTCTGCCTTCTAGTACCGACTTTTTTGACAAGGATGGCGTGATGAAAGACATCAGGGCGATTTACCAGGTTTACAACGCGCTGCAGGAGAAAGTGCAGGTAGCCGATTCACTTGTTAGTTTTCGCGTCCTGTGTGCTGCCCAAGTGCTTTTGACTCTCCCTTACTCGTTGGTCATCTTCCGCCCGACAGATGAATGATAGTCCAGATGTTAGAATGGTATCAGACCTAATGCCAGCCTGCAGAAGTTCGGCTCCCTCGCTCTGTGCCGGAAGTCGATTCTCTGAGGTGCACTATGAGTTCTACTCCTTTAAATACTTGTGGTCCCGTTTACAACAGTGCATTTTCTAGAAAAATGTATTTCGAGTTTAAAGAAGAGTTGCTGAGAACACAGCTGCCTCCGTCAGTTATATTCTAGGCAAAGACGACATCAAAAGGCACTGGTCGCTCATGGCAGCTCTGCTTCCTTCATTCTAGTTCCCTCTCTTTGCCCCCATGGCCTCCACTGAGTGGGAGGATCTCAGCGGGGCCTGTTCATTCCGAATCATTCATGCAACAAATATTTATGGAAGCATCTCCTCTGAGCCAGATACTGAGCTAAGTGCTAACAGTACTACTTTCCCACATTCTTTTCATTATCCCAATGTGTTCTCAGGGGTACTTTGCTCTAAAACCCTAAGAACGAACGAGCCTTTGCACTTGCTTGTGAGGACAAGGAAGGTGCTAAAGTTGAGGTTGCTCTCCCTGGCCTGTAAGAAGCCTGGCTTTAAGGAAGAAGGCTTTGACAAGTAGAAAGAGGGACAGTGGTAGCTACTGAAAAAGGGGAAAGCAGCCTGGGACAAAAGAGAAAGCATACAAGGGCACTTTCCAGCATTAGTGTTGCAAGTTTGGGCCACTGTACCCATAGCAGTGTAGGGAACTTTATACAGGCTCACTTGTGACCACCTACTTTCTGAAAGTTTCTGGCATTTCTGCTATGGAAGGAACGTGCAGTGAAAAACAGCTTTTTGTCCTGAATTCATGACCATGCCCTTTTCAGACCATCAGCATTGGCCAAAGGACTTCAAAGTGGCTGTTATATTTTATTGTTGCTTGAATAAGGCCTGCTCTGAAAACACCAGATCGCGTAGAGTGCTCTGATTATACATGGCTATATTATATAGGTGCAATCTAAAATTATCTTTCGTTAGACCTTGACTTTGAAACATTTTTTTTTTTTAGCTTTCCCTCATTATAAATATTTTCTGTTAAATTAATCTGTCTTATCTGGCTTTTGATTGTTGGTAATAAATAAAAGTTGAAAGCATCTCATTCCTGTCTTATCTTTTGTTCTTCCTTTTCAAGCTAGACTGGTACCAAAAATTCCCTTTTTGTTTCAATAAAAACGATTAATCAAGGAAAAAGATTAAATCTTTCCCTTCTTATGCTTAGTTTTAAAGAATTTGTAAGCTAAATAACATAATCATCTTAAAATTAAGAAAGCAAATCAGTGAGTAATAACAATACTAATCTTTTGGGCTTCTGTGATTTTGTTCCACCTTATGTGGCTGCTTTAATAACTTAGTAAACCATCTGGACTTTTCCTAGGGTTGTAATCAGTGCTGAATGTATGGAAAGCCTTATGCTTGAATTTGAAGCTAACCTTTCTTTTTGTCATTCTTTTCCTTCAGGCAGTGTGTGCAGATGTTGAAAAGAGTGAGCGAGTTGTTGAATCTTGTCAGGCAGAAGTGAACAAATTAAGAAGACAAATCACTCAGAGGAAAAATGAAAAGGAACAAGAAAGAAGTAAGTTTCTTATTAATTTTACCATTCAGTATCAGAGAAATGTTGTTTTAAATATCACATTATACAATAAATGACATGACTCCTTCCAGACTCCTCAAGCCCCAGGTTAACCTGGTTAGGGGAGGCCATTCTCTCGTTAAGCTTTTCCAGAGGGGAAGTGCTGTTTTTCTTAGTGTCCCTCTCAAATCTTTGAAACTGGAAGAAAAAGGGAGATCAAAGGTAGAAAAAGCTGAGGTGGGAGTTAGAATAAATTCCACAAAGCAACTGATACAGATTTTGTGTATATTGCCCAATCTGATATATTTACAGTAAATGTGATGGTTATTACCAAGTCAACCCTGGCATGCCCAGCATGTAGGTACTATGTCCTGTGTCCGTATAGCCACATAGGGGAGCTGCCTAAATTTTTTTAAAACTTGATGTTTGATTCATAGTCAGGGATATGTTAAAAGTTTTCAATGTCTGGTTTAGCTAGTTTGGTGGAATGGATACCATGAAGCTAAGCTACCAGCTGGTTGAGTGAGAATTTATCCCAGGAATATGATAATTCCTTATGGAAATGGACATGTTTGCTGTAACACTACCAGATTTGGCGTCTGTGTGTAAAATTTATAAAACATATGGTAAATAATGTGAAATGTAAAGTAGGTAAGGTTGTGGCTAAATTTTTCTAGTTTACTAAGAATGTATGTAATCCAGTCAAAATGTAATTTATGTTTCTAGGCATATGATACCTGATTCATTATTACTGTTATATTTTTCTGGAAATAATCAGAAATATACACAAGAATTTAGAGTCGCTCAATCAGCACCAGTAGAGCAACTGAATAAATTATGGTATGTTATGAATCAGTTCAACTGGCCGAGAGCAGTGACTCATGCCTGTGATCCCTTTGGGAGGCTAAAGTAGCAGGATTACCTGAGGCCAAGGCTAGGCAACATAGTGAGACCTTATCTCTACAAAAAAAATCAAAATATTAGCCAGGCATGGTTAATTAGCCAGGCATCTAGTCCCAGCTACTCAGGAGGCTAAAGTGGAAGGATCACCTGAGCTTGGGAGGTCGAGACTGAGGTGAACCATGATGGTGCCATAGCACTCCAGCAGTGCAACAGAGTAAGACCCTGACTCAAAAAATATATATAAATAAATATATGTAAATATACACACACACAACTATAATTTATCAATTTACAGTAAAAAATTTAAAAAATTATGAGTAGCTGGGTATGGTGGCCCATACTTATAATCCCAGCCAACACTTTGGAAGGTCAAAGCAGGAGGATTGCTGGAGCCCAGGAGTTTGAGACCAGCCTGGGCAACAAAGTGAGACCTCGTCTCTACAAAAAAAATTTTAAAAATTAGCCAGGCATGATGGCGCAGGCCTATTGTCCCAGCTACTTGGGAGGCTGAGGCAGGAGGATTGCTTGAGCCCAGGATGTTGAGGCTGTGGTGAGCCATGATCATGCCACCGTACTCTAGCCTGGGTGACAGAGTGAGAACTCGACTAAAAAATATATATATATAGGCCGAGCGCAGTGGCTCAAGCCTGTAATCCCAGCACTTTGGGAGGCCAAGGGGTTCGAGACCAGCCTGGGCAACCTGGTGAGACCTTGTCTCTACAGTAAATCAGAAAATTAGCTGGGCATGGTGGCATGCACCTGTAGTTCCAGCTACTTGGAAGGCTGAGGCAGAAGGATTGCCTGAGCCCCAGCAGGTTGAGGCTGCGGTGGCTGTGAGCATGCCATTGCACTCCAGCCAGGGCAACAGAGTGAGACTCTGACTCAAAAAAAAAAAAAAAAAATATATATATATATATATATATATATATACACACACACATATTTATATGTGTGATACACACACACATGACGCATATATATATGGTACATAATACATGATGGAATTGTATATGGCCCCATATATATATACATAATACATGTACCATATATATATATATATATATATATATATATATATACATGGTATATATATATATATGTGTGTGTGTGTGTGTGTGTGTGATACACATATATATATATGGCACATAATACATGATAGAATTGTATATGGCCATTGGAGTGAGTTTGCGCTAATGCCTACCGCATCATCTTAAGTTAAAAAAGCTAAGATATAACAGTATAAACAAGATAATCTAAGCCGTGTTTAAAATACATGTACACACACACTTATAATAAAATTGGATAATAAAATTGGAGTTCAACAAGGATTAGTGACTTACCTAAGTAATACAGCAACAAGTGGGAGCCTGATATTCAGCATTTTGGTCTTTTAACCCAAAATCCTGTGCTCTTTTCACTAATAGAATTGTGGGTCGTTTTTATTGTCTTTGTTCCATCCGAAATTTGGTATGGGTATGTACTGTTTTTATAATATTAAAGAAATTTGCTTAAGAAATGTAAAGGCTAGATAGACTACCATGTGGACTTTTTTCAGAACATTCATAAAAATGTGGTAAAACTCTGGTCTGGTACCTAGAAAACTAGCCATCAGTCTTTTAAACTTTTTTTTTTTTTTGAGTTGGTATCTCACTCTGTCGCCCAGACTGGAGTGCAGTGGCCGCTCCCGGCTACCGCAGCCTCGCCTGCTGGGCTCCGGCGATCCTTCCGCCTCAGCCTTCCAAGTAGCCGGAATTACAAGCATGTGCTACCACACCCGGCTGATTTTTTTTTATTTATTGTAGAGATGAGGTCTTGCTGCCCAGGCAGGTCTCGAACCTGCGGGCTCAGGCATCCTGGGCTCAGAAGTTCCTTCTGCCTTAGCCTCCCAAGTAGCTGGGACTACATGTGTGTACCACCACACCCAGCTAATTTTCTTTTTGATTTTTTTGTAGAGATGAGGTCTTGCTATGTTGCCTAGGCAGGCTTTGAACTCCTGGGCTCAAGCAATCCTCCCACAGTCCCAAAGTGCTGGGATTCCAGGCATGAGCCATTGTGCCCAGCTAAGAAATATGTTTTTTGATGTGAGGCTGCCAAGGAAAAAAACGTGGCATTTCCATGCCTTGTTAAGGGTGGTAAGGATTATTTCTTTTTTTTTTTTTTTTTCAGTTGGAGTCTCACTCTGTCGCCCAGACTGGAGTGCAGTGGCCGCTCCCGGCCACCGCAGCCTCGACCTGCTGGGCTCCGGTGATCCTTCCGCCTCAGCCTTCCAAGTAGCTGGAACTACAGGCGTGCGCTACCACGCCCGGTTAATTTTTTGATTTATTGTAGAGATGAGATCTCGCCAAGTTGCCCAGGTGGGTCTCGAACCCACAGGCTCAGGCAATCCACTCACCTCCCAAAGGCATGGGATTACAGGCTGAGCCACCGAGCCCGACAAGGATTGTTTCTGTTTCATCCTTCAGTCTCCACAGTCTGAGCATAGCAAGTCCCATATGGAGGAAAAGGCAGAGGATCTAAAAGCAGAGGATCTAAAGTGACCTGCCTTCTGAGTGTCAAGGCCCACGTCTAGCTGTTCTCTTAGTCAGATGACTTTACCTTTCTGAACTCGTTTCTTTGCCTATATAATGGAAACAATGCTATTAATAATGATAATGAAGCCAGGCTCGGTGGCTCAGCCTGTAATCCCGTGCCTTTAGGAGGCCAAGGTGAGTGGATTGCCTGAGCCCGCGGGTTCAAGACCCGCCTGGGCAGCGAGACCTCATCTCTACAATAAATCCAAAAAAAATCAGCCGGGCGTGGTAGCGCACGCCTGTAATTCCGGCTCCTTGGAAGGCTGAGGCGGAAGGATCGCCGGAGCCCAGCAGGTCGAGGCTGCGGTGGCCGGGAGCGGCCACTGCACTCCAGTCTGGGCGACAGAGTGAGACTCCAACTCCAAAAAAAAAAAAAAAAATGATAACACTTCAGAAACTTGTTATGGGGCTTTAATGAATTAATGTGTAGGGAAATATTTTGCAAGTTACCAAGTACTATGCAATTATAAAATAAGTAATAGTAGGCAACCACCCCCTTGGGTCCCTTCCCACTGTGGGAGCTTTTCTGTTCCCTCAACAAATCCTGCTTCCTCAAAAAAAAACAGTAACATTAACAGTCAGTTTCACTGCCTTGTTGCCATTTTCCAGAACTTTCTGTTTGACCGTGTAATGCATTGACATGAAAAGCTGTGAAGACTTAGAAAATGTTACAAGTATTCTTCCCGTTTTCACCCAGGATTGCAACAGGTGATGTTAAGCAGACAGATGCCACCTGAAAGTTTGGAGCCGGTGTTCAGTCCTCGGATGCCCTATTCTGGGTTTGCAGCCGAAGGCAGAAGTACCCTTGGAGACACAGAGGCCTCGGATCCTCCTCCCCCTTACTCTGATTTTCACCCAAACAATCCAGAAAGTACTTTGAGCCATTCTCGCATGGAAAGGAGTGTTTTCATGCCTCGACCTCAAGCCGTGGGCTCTTCCAATTATGCCTCCACTAGTGCCGGACTGAAATATGCGGGCAGCGGAGCAGATCTGCCTCCTTCCCAAAGAGCAGCTGGAAACAGTGGTGAAGAATCGGACGACAGCGATTATGAAAATCTCGTTGACCCTGCAGAGCCTTCTAATAGTGCATACTCACATTCAAAGGATTCTCGACCCGTGACACATTCCGAGGAGGACCCCAGGAACACTCAGACCGCCCAGATTTAAACAAACAGAAGAAACTGTCCACTTAGCACTGTTCTTCTTCATTGCTGGTTGAGAGGGTTTTTGGAGGACTGAATCTGGGGGGCAGCTGCTTTCTCAGATCCTTGACTCCCAACAGAGGATCCTTGTGCACAGACTTGTGGAAGCCTCCATCTGCTGGTTCTGCCTTCGGATGCCGGGTGCAGGTTTCATGACAGAATCATTAAGATAATCAAATTGTCCTAATTCTGGTGCGATTCACGGATGTGCTGGTAAATTTAGGCAGAGTGAAACTTATCAGCGTAGTTTCTGTTCTTTAAAATAAATTGGAAATTAGAGACTAAGCACAATTAGTCTATACATGTTCTATAAATCAAAAACTTACCTCTTGCACTATCATGCCTTGAAATTTACTCTTTCAAAGGGAAACAAGTTTAGCAGCAGCCTTCAAAGAACTTCTTTCTATGATGAGCCAAATTCATCTTTGCCAGAAAAGAAATTTTGATAATTCCAAGAAGCCTGATTGGAACAAATCAGATACACCTTCTCTTGTCTGCATGACTTTGTGAGATCGAAAGAGAGGGCTTTGTTTCAACTTTTTTCTACTAGCCTGATATGTATTGTCACTTAAAATGGTTGCCTTTTAAAAAAATATAGGAATACTAATTACCAGTGAATAATCATCCAAATAAGTATGTCATAAAATAAATTAATTATTTTTCTCTTGGTGGATTACAGTGACTACTGTCTTGCACTAGCACATTTATGGTCTCTTTTCTGGAGTCTGTGTCTGTTATCCAACAATGGATAACAGAAGGAGTTAAGTACCAGACCTGAGTTTTATACTGAACAGATTCCAGACACAATGGATTTAGCTGAGTTCATACGTAAGGGATGTAACTCATTTAGATCTCCTGACAAATCCTAGTGTTAGTTTTATTTGTGGAGGAAAGACACTTAATAAACTGTTTGGGAATCTTGGTGAATAAAGATTTGTTTTAAATCTGAATAACCATACTTATTTTTTCTTTTAAGTTGCCATTTGGGGAATAATTGCCGAATGGGTAGACACTCTCTTGGGATGCACTGATATTTTTATTTAATGACCGCTTGTTTTCTAGTTTTGCGCAGAACGTGTGAAGCCGCTAAGACATTCATGAGCATGTTGGGCTCCTGGCTTAGAAATGGCAAGACCTTCCGTGAGGTCGGCCCACGAAGTTAATCCTCGGAGTTTAACTGCCTTTCCTTTGGACTAGTTAAAACGTGTAAGAATAAGGAAGTTTTTAGAGAGGGCCTGAAAAAGTAATTGCATTTTATAGGATAGACAGTTATTCACTGAGCTCCAGTTTCAATACTAAATTAGACAGTATAATATAGATTGAAAAATGAAATGCTCAAACTGCCATCTTCGGGTATCCACTCTGTGGGGGTCCATATTTTAACTACTCTCTTGGTTTTGTTGGCCTTATACCACTGCCATTTGATTGTAAATGTTGCAGACCACTTTAACTGCAAATGGCTTCAGTTTTTATCAACTCCCTACTGAACAGCTTCAGCAGTGAATTTACTTTTCAGCGAATTTTTTTTTTAAAGTGCCATCGCCATCTCCTCTGTTCAGATTTTGACATTCAGGAAAATATTTTTATTTTTATGCCATACTGAAATCTACAGTGTACATCTGACAAAGCAGTTAAATGTGACAATAAAAACTTATTTAATCGTGGTACCACTGTTTTAATGTCTGTCTCTGCACCCAACAAGGCCTCTCCTCAGCATACTCATTCTGACAGTTCAAAGTGGACTGAGTAGAGCTTTTTAAAGAGCATTAAAACTCATCTCCATACAAACTTTTTATCAGACTGCTTTCAGCAGAAATTCATAGCTTACTAATTTCAAGGAGTTTCTATTTTCCAAAATGTTTCTGTTGATTTCATGTTGCCTAGAGAGTTAAGGATTAATTGGTTATAAAATCAAATCTTGGAAAAGCCCCCAAAAGGCACCTTTCATAGAAGAACTGATCCTGTTTTAAGTGATGCCTCAGCCAGGTTTCCCTAGTGATTAAAATACTGTAGAATTTGGTGCTTTTAGAGCATCTTAGGAATTAGGGAGTCACCTAGGAGTGAGGATCTTCTGGCTAACAAGTGTATTCTGGGTTCTGTGGGAGCCATTCCAGTTGAGTGATGTATCGCTTTCAAAGTCCAAAGGGAGAGTCTGTTTTCAACAGGATTTTAATATGTGAGTTACAGCCTTTTAGGATTCTACTCAACGTCACCTCCAACTATTTGAAGAAAAGAAGACGGGATTCTTTTAACTCAGAAGTCTGGAAATGCTTGCTTACGTGTTGTGATTGATTTTTCTGGAGTAGGATTGAAACATAAATCTTATCCCCACATATTCAGGATACATATTTTTAAATTCCAGACACAGTAGGACAGTAGCAATAACAGCTTTAATAAAAAGATTTAAATTGGCTGTCTTGAAAATCTTATGTTTTAAGGAGGTTAAAAAGAGCCTGGGAGAACGTGAAACAAAAATACAGTGAAATAAGTAATGGTTATTAACAGCGTTCTGAGTCTGAACTGCTGTGACTGTGGGTTTCATCTCAGTTACTAAAAGATCATTCTTTTGCAAGATTCTGCTTCATCCTTTCCCACGGCGAACCTGAATCCTGCCAGACAGGAAGCCTGAAGGCAAAGGGTTCTGCAAATGTGGTGGTAATAAATGATGGAAAATGTTTACTTCTCAACTTGATGACAAACAGATTTTGGAAAAGTTCTGGGATGTAGCTTAACTGTCTTTTAAATTTTTTTTTACAGGATTTGTGTGATGTCCTAAATAAGGCAAGAGTCAGGACACAGTACCTCCAAACTGGGTCACTCTGGGGTTCTTCTGATTCCTAAAGATTGGGGGTGGAGTACCCTGGAGAAGTGAGGCTTTGGAACATCTAGAGGGCAACGTTTCCTTAAGCATCAGACATCCACTACATGGTCCAGAAGGTAGTGCTTAGCAAAAGAAGGTTCACTGCAGCATGCTTCTCATAGCAAAAACTAGAAGTAACATTAATGCCAATGTTAGGGTAATGGTTGCATTTTGGTACACCCCAGAAGAAGTAGTCTCTGCAGCCATTAAAAATACTGAAGCAAGCCGGGCTCGGTGGCTCAGCCTGTAATTCCACACCTTGGGAGACTGAGGTGAGTGGATTGCCTGAGCCCGTGGGTTCGAGACTCGCCTGGTGAGACCTCACCTCTACAATAAATTTTTTAAAAAATTAGCCAGGCGTGGGAGCACACACCCGTAATTCCAGCTACTTGGAAGGCTGAGGCAGAAGGATCACTGGAGCCCAGCAGGTCGAGGCTGCGGTGGCCGGGAGCGGCCACTGCACTCCAGTCTGGGCGACAGTGAGACTCCAACTCAAAAAAAAAAAAAAATACTGAAGCAGAGGCCCGGCAGGGTGGCTCACGCCTATAATCCCAGGCCTTTGGGAGGTCAAAGAGAGAATTACCTGAGCCCCCGGGTTTGAGACCAGCCCGGACAGCTTGGCAAGACCTCATCTCTACAATAAATCAGAAAATTATCTGGGCATGGTGGCGTGTGCCTGTAGTTCCAGCTACTTGGAAGGCTGAGGTGGAAGGATCACCTGTGCCCAGCAGGTCATGGCTGCGGTGGCCGTGAGCGTACCACTGCACTCCAGCCTGGGCCGTTAGCGTGCCACTGCACTCCAGCCTGGGCAACAGAGTAGGACTCCCACTCAAATAAACAAACAAACAAGTAAAAAATACTGAAGCAGAAGTAAAAAAGTTTTTCTTTTGAGTCAGGTTTGCCCAGCCTGGAGTGTGGTGGCACTATCCACAGCTCACAGCAGCCTCAATCCCCTGGACTCAAGCTATCCTTCTACCTCCGGCTCCTGACTACAGGTGCACGCCAGCAGGCCTAGCTAATTTTTAAAATTTCTTTGTAGAGATGAGGTCTCGCTATGTTACACAGGCTGGTCTTGAACTCCTGGGCTCAAGCAGTTCTCTCACCTCAGCCTCCCAAATTGCTGGGGTTACCAGGCATGAGCCACCACGCTGGCCCAAAAAAATTTCTTGGCATGGAAAAATGGTTTATAATATGCCAAATGAAGAAATCCGGGTTTCTAGATAGTATGTAAGATATGATCTGATTTTTGTGGTAGAAAAAAATTATGTAGGATTTTTCTCGATAAAAAAACCTGGAGGGATAGTCATCTAAGGAACAGTGTTATTGTCCCTGGGAGGTAGCAATATGGGTGATTTTTTTCCCCCAATCTTTCACTTACTTGCATTTAAAAATTTTTCTGCAATAAGAATTTGTATAATCAAAGACTTCAGAAATGGTGGTCATTGACTATATGAATTACTTCACTCACACTACCTTAGAAGTGATTCCAAAAAGTCCTGATTCTGGCCGGGCTCAGTGGCTCAGCCTGTCATCCCAGCACTTTGGGAGGCCGAGGCGAGTGGATTACCTGAGCCCGCGGGTTCGAGTCCAGGCCAGGCAACTTGGCGAGACCTCGTCTCTACAATAAATCAAAAAAATTAGCCAGGCATCGTAGCATGCATCTGTAGTTCCGGCTACTTGGAAGGCTGAGACAGAAGGATCGCCAGAGCCCAGCAGGTCGACACTGGGGTGGCCGTGAGTGTGTCACTGCACTCCAGCCTGGGCGACGGAGTGAGACTCCAACTCAAAAGGAAAAAAAAGAAATACCTTCAGAAATTGAAGGTGATTCAAAATTTGCAATTTATGATAATTATCTAAGGCAAAAGTACCTACAGCCACATAGTTTTTTGTTTGTTTGTTTGTTTGTTTGTTTTGTTATAGTCTCACTCTGTTGCCCAAGCTGGAGTGCAGTGGCACAATCATGGCTCACCCCAGCCTCAAACTCCTGGGCTCAAATGATCTTCTTGCCTCAGCCCCCCAAATAGCTGGAACTACAGGTGTGCTCCACTATGCCTGGCAAATTTATTTATTTATTTATTTGGTCTGGTCTTGAACTCCTGGGCTCAAGCAATCCTCCTGCCTTGGGCTTCCAAAGTGCTGGGATTATACAGCTGTGAGCCACTGTGCTTGGCCTTAACGTAGACTTTTTTTTTTTTTTTTTGGTCTTAACATATAAGACAGATTTCTTTCATCTAGCAGATTCTCTCTGCTGTTATTCTTTGGGACAATGCCCTTCTTACTGAGGGTACCTTAGATTGTATTAAGCATTAGGAGGTGTAGACACTTGTTAGTTCAATTGACACACAAGCCTGGGAAGTGTTTGATTCCAAAGCAAGTATATACATGCTTGGGACATTTGTTTTGTTTTTGAGTTGGAGTCTCACTCTGTCCTCCAGACTGGCGTGCAGTGGCACACTCCCGGCCACTGCAGCCTCGACCTGCTGGGCTCCGGCAATCCTTCTGCCGCAACCTGACATTTGTTGAGGCCATCCAATTATGAGCCCTGCTTGGTAAAGCTGGTGATCATTAGGTCTTGACTTATTTGAAACAGATGTGGTTGGTCTCGACTAGAATGAGGGTCATCCGACCACAGTTTTGTGGTATGTGCCCATGGAAGGACTGGGGAACAGTCAGTAACTACTCTCTAGAAGTAATAAGCAAGGGTCGATCCCTGGCAGAGTCTGAGAAGTGAAGAGATGCGTTTTATGCAACTTGTCTCCTTAAAGAGGTCTCTATCTTCTCAATCTGTCACAATTCTACTCATTGTTTAAAGGCCCAGCTCAAATGTCACCTCCTTTAGAAAACCTTTCTGACTCATGAATCATGCAACCTGAGCACCTTGCTCAAGTCTCTGCCCGGCACCATGCACGTATCTGATGTAGCTATCATTCTGCACATGATTGAGAGTTAGACCTCATGTCTACAATAAATCAAAAAATTAGCCGGGCATGGTAGCGCCCACCTGTAGTTCCAGCTACTCGGAAGGCTGAGGCGGAAGGATCGCCGGAGCCCAGCGGGTCGAGGCTGCGGTGGCCGGGAGCAGCCACTGCACTCCAGTCTGGGCGACAGAGTGAGACTCCAACTCAAAAAAAAAAAAAAGAGAGTTAGATTCAATACATCTGATTCTGCCAGTAACTAAGGACAGGCAGGACAGTGACTAAGACACCTTAGAATTCCCAGGGCCCAGCACTAAGTAAATATCTATTTACTATTTAAAGGAACATAGGAACGGTAGTATGGGGGACCTCAATACGCAAAGTTATCTTGTAGATACATTTGTTCCTGAGGAATTAGGCAAAAGACTATCATCTGGAATGTCACTAGCAAAAATTCTGACTTTTAATTTGGAGTCAGAGTATCACTCTGTCACCCAAGCTGGAGTACCAGTAGCATGATTACAGCTCCATCACTGCCTCGACCTGCTGGGCTCAGGCGAGCTTTTCGCCTTAGCTGCTTGATAGCTAGGACTACAGGCACGCGCCACCAGGCCCAGTGAGTTTTTTAATTTTTTGTAGACATAAGGTCTTGCTATGTTCCTCAGGCTGGTCTCAGACTCCTGGATAGAGATCCTCCCGCCTCAGCCTCCCAAAGTACTGGGATTAACAGGTGTGAGCCACCGGGCCTGGTCTCTGACTTGTTTAAACGGCTAGTTTTTTTTGTTTTGTTTTGTTTTTTGAGTTCGAGTCTCATTCTGTCGCCAGATTGGAGTGCAGTGGCACACTCCCGGCCACCGCAGCCTCTACCTGCTGGGCTCAGGCGATCCTTCCA